GTAAGAGATTTGCACTGCTTTGGGCGGGACATCTTGGTCGATACGGAAGCATCCGTTGCACAGACCACTCACTACTCAGCAAAACTGAGCTCAAGATGCGTCGTGCACAGATCGCGAGGAAAACAAAGAATACCAGCTCGCACATGCAAGGGCTAGGTTGGGTACTGACGGGCGCATGCTGCACACGCCGCCCACCGCGCATAAGTCGCGCGCAGGTGCGCACACGTGATCACTCCCACAGTTGCCTGACAAGGCTGATAGGAAACGGCTGCGTCCGCGGGAATTTCAAATTCGCCCTTCACGACTGCGTTCGGCACGTATAGTAAGAGCTAAGCGTTCGCACGGAGCCCTCGTTTCCTGTTGGGAGTAGACTTTGCCTTCTGCCCTCCCTGTAAAGATTTCGAGATATCCACTGTTCCCTCCGGAAAATGTTTCGAGATAAGAGGGGGCAAATACATAGCACCTATGGGAGGTTAATGCACGACGAAAAAAAGTTTCGACTTAACCGAGATTTTGAGATATGCGAGTTCGAGCTAACGAGGGTTTACTGTACGTCCTTCCTCGAGTCCCTGGTCATCCCCAGTTGTTCTCGTTCAAAAGAAAGATGGGACAGTGCGTTTCTGCGTCGATTACCGTATGCTAAACAAAATAACGCGCAAGGATGTTTATCCCCTCCCTCGGATCGACGATGCACTGGATTCATTACAGAGCGCAGAGTATTTTTCTAGCCTTAACCTTAGGTCAGGCTACTGGCAGATACCAATGTCGGAGTCTGATAAAGAGAAGACCGCCTTTTCAACGCCAGATGGGTTGTACGAGTTCAATGTGATGCCTTTTGGACTCTGTAATGTGCCCGCCACCTTCGAACGCATGACAGACGGCGTATTGTGTGGTTTGAAATGGAAAACATGTCTGTGTTATCTCGATGAAATAGTAGTGTTTTCATCCACGTTCTCGCAACATCTACAACGTCTTGACAAAGTCCTCACATGCCTTGCAAAAGCCGGTCTACAGCTTAACACCAAGAAATGTACCTTTGCTAGCAAGACAATCAAGGTTCTCAGCCACCTCCTTGTCAGCAAAAAAGGAATTCGGCCCGACCCCGAGAAGCTTGCCGCTGTCCTCGATTTTCCTCGTCCACTACGTCAAAAGGACCTGCGCAGCTTTTCTGGGTTTTCTTCTTACTTCCGGCGCTTCATACGTGGTTTCGCGGAACTTGCGTCTCCGCTCCATCAACTCCTCGCAAGGAACATCCCCTTCATTTGGTCCGAAGACTGCGAAAGTGCTTTCACGGCATTGAAGCAAGCCCTCACGTCGGATCCGGTACTGTACCACTTCGATTCCACCGCACCCACCATCCTTCACACCGATGCAAGTAGTCATGGTCTTGGTGCGCTACTCTTGCAGCGTGACCAAAACTCATGCGAACGCGTCGTTGCTTACGCAAGTCGTGCTCTTACCGCTCCAGAAAAGAACTACACTATCACCGAGCAGGAGTGCCTTGCTGTTGTTTGGGCAGTGCAAAGATTCCGACCATATCTTCACGGCCGTCATTTTACCGTCGTGACCGACCATAACGCCCTGTACTGGCTTTCATTCCTGAAAAACTTATCGGGTCGCCTCGGTCGCTGGGCGCTTCGCTTGCAGGAGTATGATTTCGATGTCGCCTACAGATCTGGGAAGAAGCATCAAGATGCTGATGCTCTATCGCGCTGTCCTTGGCCCAGCGGAAGCCACTCACCATTGATACTTCAAAACGACAGCACCTCTCCAATCGCAGCGCTAAGTTCATCACCTGCCACCCTATCCGTCCTTGTTTCACAACAACGTGTCGACCCATACTGCCGCACCATTGTTGACCGCTTGACCGGCTCTACTACTCCTCCAAACGCCAGACTCTGTCGACAACTTAAACAATTTAAGCTTGTTGGTGATACTTTATGTCGCTACATTTACCACATCGATGGCAACAAGTGGGTACCCGTCATCCCAGGTTCTCTGCAACGTGAAGTTCTGGAAGCCTTTCATGATGATCCAACCGCCGCTTATCTAGGCTATCACAAGACTTACGACAAAATACGAAGTCGTTGTTTTTGGCCTGGCCTCTCTTCAGCCGTCGCTAAGTACGTCGCCTCCTGTGTCCATTGCTAACGGCGAAAACGGCCGACAACTGCTCCGGTTGGCTTAATGCAACCTCTTCCTGGTCCCGCCTCGCCTTTTGAAGTCGTTGGAATTGACTTGTATGGCCCTCTTCCTATATCATCCAGTGGGAATCGCTGGATTGTCACGGCCGTCGACCACCTTACCCGCTACGCAGAAACAGCTGTCTATACCATCTGGGACTGCCACTGAGATCGCCGATTTCTTTCTTCGCCACACATTTTTGCGTCATGGAGCTCCACGCATTTTCCTCAGTGATCGTGGCAAAGTCTTCCCATCTTCCATTGTCGCGCAAGCTTTTCCGTGCCTCGAACACTGTTCACAAGACCACTTCTAGCTACCACCCGCAGACCAACGGATTGACTGAACGGTTTCATCGGACCCTATTGGACATGATCGCCATGTACATTCACCCCAACCACACTAACTGGGATGCAATTCTACCCTTCGTGACATTCGCCTATAATACGGCTGCTCAACGCACTACCGGTTTTTCTCCATTTTTTCTCGTCCATGTTCGCTCGCCGAGTTTCGCTCTGGATGTCTCTTTCCTTTCGGCCCCTGCACCCTTGACGGCTCCTTTCTCTGAAGAATTCCTATCTCGTCTCGCACACTGCCTTCACCAGGCCCGTGTTAACACCGGCCTCTCTCAAGACACTCGAAAATCTCGCTATAACTCGTCTCGCCGTGTTGTGAGTTTTTTCCCTGGTGACGAAGTTCTTCTATGGACTCCACTACGCGTCACCAGCCTATGCGACAAATTCATCGTTCTCTAGCTTCCAGCTTGTCATGTCATGACTACATGCTGCATTGCCTTGCTATGACCGCAGCATCATCAGAGGTATGCGGCAGTGGCTACTAAAGCAGGCTGCCAAGACTTCCTTCCTTTGCTACTCAGACGAGCGTAATGTCATTATGCACTGCTGCTACTAAGTGAATAAACTGGCGTTATGTTTTTCATGTCGTCTTTCCGTCGGCGTGACAACCGTTTTGGAAAGCTCTGGTAGATTAGAAAGTTGCATGTTGGAAGTCAAGGCAAGGGCCACCTTCAGGGGCCATTGGAGAAAAAAAAAAAAATAGTTCGGAATGCTACTCATGTGCCCTTCCACGGTGGTCTAGTGGCTAAGGTACTCGGCTGCTGACCCGCAGGTCCCGGGATCCAATCCCGGCTGTGGCGTCTGCATTTCTGATGGAGGCGAAAATGTTGTAGGCCCGTGTACTCAGATTTGGGGGCACGTTAAAGAACCCCAGGTGGTCAAAATTTCCGGAGCCGTCCACTACGGCGTCTCTCATAATCATACGGTGGTTTTGGGACCTTAAACCCCACAAATCAATCAATTCTACTCATGAGGGTCGATCCTGAGCAGCAATTGACGGAGAGTTCAGTATCAGAGTTCATTATCATGCACTAGGTGTTTCAATCACTTCATTATGGTGAAGGTACTAGTTAGTAGAAAGCTGCTCACCATGTAGTGGTATTTTGCTTTTTTGGCAATGCCAAACGTCACATGATTTCCAGCATCACATTGACAACTTCATAGCAGACATTGCTGTTGTGCTGGCAGGAATGTCCATGGCATCAATGCAGATCTTCCTGTGCCCAAGTTATGCCAGGCTCACTAGTTTGTGGTGCGAGTATGCCAAGAAGAAAAAAACAAGTATACAACGAGTGTATATTTTTCTTGGGGCCCTCACCATTCCTCCTTGCTTTCACCAGAGGCTTCAGCTATAAACCAGTTCCAGGTGATGCTGTTGACAATTGTGGCCACTCCATCTGATAGTAGTTTGTCACTGTTGGCAAATCATGACAACAATACCTTGAAGAGACCTGAAACGGTTTTTGCAATTTTGTACAAACACATTGGGCAATAGACCGAATTTCAAGGGTTATTTAAAGACTGATTTGAGCTCTACATAAACTGCATAATTTATTAAAATGCTTTAAAGCTGCTAATCGCAGATTGTTGAGACTTGGCGAAACGTGTTTTCAACCACCCATTCACAGAGTGACATGCTCTGGCCACTTGATGAGGCCTGTGGCTGCTGATTTGATTGGCCGTCGTGGGCTGTAGAATGCGCGGAAGTAAAATCGACTGGTAAGGTGGCAGCACCTGTCGGAGCAGGTATGAAACACTTTGCGATCTGTTTCCAGACATCGTGCGTGCTGCCAGGCGCACTGTGTGATGGCCTTGGAGACTGCGCACAAGCTGCCGGTGTGCGATCTCGGAGGCCTAGACTAGTAAAAGCTGAAATTTTCAAGCGCACTTGCGAGAGCTCTGCGATCACCAGCGTGCCTTGTGAGTTGAGGAGGCCAGGCATAGGTGAGAAGGAAGGTGTGATATAATTGTCCATAGTGGCTTTGGTACATGGTGGTTCACTAAATTTGTGGTGCAAATTATTTGATGATGCTCTAGCCTAAATGCTCAAAAAACCTGGAAAAACCGTTACAGGGTCCCTTTACGGGCTCACGTAGTACAAATAGCCTGAGTTGGTCAGTTTTAGTTAGGATTATTCTTTGTGGCAACTCTTATATCATGTGTGTTGATTTGGGATGTGCAATCGAATTTTTTGGTACATTAAATCTTCAAGAGGCAGATGGAAACCACCTGTAACATCACATTCACCTTTGGTGGAACTCTAACTGCTGTATTTCTTGGCAAGCTGATTAGTGGACAAATGAAAAAACCTTCAGTGGTGGCATGAGTGTTGGCTCAAGAGGTAGCCATGCTCATGGTACTCCTGATGCATTTTAACCTCTGGGGTCGCTGTGAAATTTGTAAATGCAAGCCTGTTGATCAACAGACTATGCTTGAAAACAGCCCCATTTTGTGCAATTGCAGCTGCTATGTGGATTCGTGGCTTTCCTGTTTCCTGGAGTGCGCCAGTGGTTGCGAGCTCAATACCTGCCACTGCACGTCTATTTCGGACTGGCCATTTTCGTGCTTGCTGTGGCCACTGCTTTGATGGGGATCCTGGAGAAGCTCATCTTTTCACTGTGAGTCCTTTATTTATCCTTGCAGCAGATAGGGATGTACCCTACTTACACGAGCGTGATTGTAATGCAAGGGGGTACTTTTCATTGTGTCCATCCTTGCCGCAAGGGCAAAGCAATGGATGTGATAGCAGCAAATTGGAATGTTGCACAATGAACGGGAAGCAACTCAATACTTGCAGCTTGCCACTCAAGTGCAAAGTTCGCAGTAAAAGAACAGATACCGAACGAGTGCAAACTAAGAGGCATCACAGGTTGACACTTGCACCTAGCCGCTCAAACACAAAAAGGACACTTGAAAAAATATACAGGTGTACACAGGACGAATGGCAACTAATAACTGTCACAATTTTTACATCTTTGTGTATGACCTGCGCGCTACATGCGTCAGCTGTGCTGGTGCCTTCTTCTTGAACGCTGGGCTGCAGGAGTGACCCATCTACGCATCCTGTGGCAAGTTGACGTCTGAAGCATTGCTTGCCTAGTGTTCCACATCACGAAAGAGCACAAAAGTCGGCCACTTTCACTGCACGCCCCAAGAGCAGTTGAAACAAAATGTGGGCACAATGCTTTGAAGCGCTCCTTTCACACCATTGTACCGAACAGGCCTAAGTGCCTCCGAGATCTGCCAGCATTAGACGGTGCATACAAATTGCCTTCCACTAGAATGTGAAAAAAGAAGTGGCAGAGCACAGTGAAGCGAGTGCTTCGAATTTCTGTGGTGCATTTCCTCTCATTTGTTTTTATTCGTGGTGAACTTGGGTTGTCAGACAGACAGTGTGTGCACCAAAATTTCTCAGTGCTCGCGCTGCTCAACAACAGCGAGCTACTGCCATTTCTACGAAGTGGTCTCACATGATGAGGTGGGAGCGAACTTGCTAACAGCAGCATGGTGTGCGTGTACCACTGTCAATCCACACAGGATGGGTACACCACACATGCAGCCGAGCAGAGATGACTGCGATGACAGCTATAAGCCTTAAATAATAGTTAAAACTGTTGCTTGGGTGAGTTGGTTCCTGATTATTCAGACTGTTTCGATGTATGCCTACAAAAAGGCCCTGCATTTGAAAAAGTAAATCAGTTGTGAGTACAGTGCTGTGTGTGTGTCTTTTCTAAATATTCCGTCTTTTTGCGCTGATAAATCAGTCTTAATTAATGGCTCGATTGTCGACAGTCGCCACATCACTCTCTCCCTTCTGATACTTAACAGCGAAGGCATCGCCGCGATCATGTGGATCATCAAGGATCGGCCAGCCTCTCTCATCATCGAAAATTCGGATGTGGCGCCGACAAGTTTAATGATGCAGTGATGTGGAAAAGTTATTGCAGTTATCTGTATGGGTGTGCAAAATTTAGAATATTTATGAATGGTGCTTGCTATTCGATTTGCACAGGAATTTCACTGTTCGAACTATTAAGACCTACTTTCTGAAGACAAATACACAACAATCATTGTACAATTGGCAGTGGCTCCTTTAGATCTTTTCATTCACTCCATTACACTTTCGCATTTACACTCCATTACACTTCATTACACTTACATCACACTCCATAACACTTTCGACCTTTGTGCAACATGTTAGCAGTCTTGGTTTTCTTGTGCTTGCTAGTACCATTGTCGTTGTTCTCTAAAGCTTTACGTTTTGGGAGAGGGGAATCATTGCTCTCCTCCATACTGGTTACACTATCCGGTGTTGTAATTATTGCATCATTGCACTGTACCGTGCCGGTTCTGTAGTTAGAAATTTCTTCCCTTAATTTTTTATTCTCCTCGCTCATGGTGGCAATTATCTGATTGTTTTGCATAATCATTTGTTTCAGTTGTGCTAACTCTGCCTCGAGTTTGGCGAGTTTCTGGTCAGAAGCAGCCTCCGCCTTCGCGCGCGTCCCCTTGACCCTGTTTGCCCAGCTTACCTTGAACGATGTATCGGCGCCGGGGTTTCCGGGTTCCTGGGCCCTTGACTGGGAGCGTGACTTTGACCTGGAGCGGTTCCTGGACCTGGAGCAGTTCTTCGATTTTGAGCGTCTTTTCCTCTCATGCGGCAAACTGGGGGAGGACTCCGATATGTTGTCCCTTGCTGCGTTGGCGTAAGATGGCCTGTCTTGTGTGGCAAGGGACGCATTCTCTTGTTCTTGTCTGGCTCTTTCCCAGCGACGTTTCCGCACTAGGAATGGTGTCGTATACCTTGCTTTGCAGGTTCGGTCCGCTGTGGGGTGGTCTTCGTCGCACAGCTGGCACCTGGCCTTGCATTCGTGGCTTTCGGGAGGATTCGGCATCCTGCAGCCTCGGCAGATCTTATCTTTAGGGTTGGGGCAAACATCCGCCCTATGCCCCAAGCGTCTGCAGTGGTAGCACACGTCCAGTTGTTTTCTGTACAACGAACACCTTAGCAATGCCCCGCCGTATTTCACGTAGCTTGGCACATGGTAGCCGTCGAATAGTACAATCACATTGGTGGTATTGCCCATTCGCTTGGCCACGAGCGCAGTTGGGTTCCTGGGGCTTACAACGTTTTCAGTTATATCTCGGGCAGTGTCTTGTAGCGGTATTCCCCGGATCACTCCCTTGGAGGTGTTTTCTGGGGCTGCTTCATAAGGGCTGGCTTCAAAAGCTTGCGTGCCTATTTTGATACAGGCAATTCGCTGGTATCTGTTGGCATGTTCTTCGACAGGATTGCTGACCACAACAATGTTTTGTTGGTAGTTGAGGCAGATTGTGTCTTGCTCTCGGACTTCCCTTGGTACATTGGCCGATTCGTAGACGCTGTTGCCAATGCGGGCGGCACCGTGGTCACTGACGCGAAGTCCCCCACGAGGTTGAACAATTATCTTGTAGTCTTCCCTTGGAAGGGGTGGCATTCTGCTATGTCTGGTGATTTGGCGAAGCCGTTCTCTCAGTTTCTTGTCCTTCTGCCCTGTCGAATGCTGCTCGCTTGGTTGGTCTAACATTTACTTTGTAATTTTTTGCTGTCCCACCGGTCGCCATCCGGTATTATTCTCAAATTCTTCTTTCGAAATGCTTTCTCCCTCCACGGTCACTTCCATCTGGTCAAAAAACTCGAAACGCCAAGCGTGCAGGGCGCCGCATTCTTCGTGGTTTCACGCGACGCCTAGGTGCGTCGCAGCGGTGTCTACGGCGGTGTCTACGGCGAACGCTATGGAGGTGGCTCTTCTGCCGGCGCAGCGAACACAAACACGGGCATAAAATGGTCAAATGCAAGTCCTCCCACCTGATTTTTCGTCAGGATGGTCGCGATGACTTGTGGCGTCGATTCGTAATGACAAATCCTCTGGATATGGTAATTTCCGCCGAGAAACATCCAGAAAATACGAAGCCGACGCGACGAGCGACTGCTACTGCCGGGCGCTTCACGCGTCCTCCGTCACCATAATTCTTTTTCTTTTTCTATTTTTGTGAACCTACCTGTTATGTAATACCTCTTTTTGGGGCATTTAAGGAATGAAGAATGAATGAATGAATGAATGAATGAGAAATGCCGTAGTGAAGGGCTTCTGAAATTTCGACCATCTAGGGTTCTTTAACGCGGTGTTGTACACATTTCTCTGAAACAGGAATGAAAGCTCATTCCTCGTTCCTCCCCAATTATGGAATGAGTTTTCGTTACACGTTCCTATAAAGTGAAAGTAACTCCTCACAGTTACACTTCAACATTTAGAATGTGTCATTACATTTGACTTTTACTAAAGATATAGTGCTGGATAACCCTGAAGCAAAATAAAGTGAGCAAATTAATGTGTGAGTGCGAATTTATTAGAAGGCAGAGAGGTCTGCCTGAGCTAGTTCGCTCTAGCCTGCTATTGTACACAGGGGATAAGGGAAGGGGGAAAGAAAGAGGGATGAAGATGATGATGGGGACAAGAAGAGGTGGCGCGCATCTCACATTGAGCTACATATACAAATTTGACATTGCCGACAACAGGTTATACGTAGATAAAAAGAATCTAAATAAACTCTCTAAGACTCATTTATTTTAGAGGCCACCAGCCATACTACAAGCATGTGTAACTGCAACTTTCAAGTCCTACACATGTGGCACTTTTCAAGTTGGTCTTCAAAAGTGCAGACAGGATACCACTGCGCTTCAGAAATTTAAATACAAATCATTGTGCATGCACAAATGTACCGTATTTTCGCGCGTATAACCCGCACCAAAAACGCAAAAATTTCAGTGGCAAAGTGGAGGTGCGAATAATACGCAGGGTTTTTCCTATAGTGCTGCTTCACAGCAATGCGTGCTGTGCTGTGAAACCCTTTAACAGTGTAGCGAAGGCTACAGAGGCGGTTTCCGCAAATTCGTGTTGCTCCGCAAGTAGCACGACAGCTTGCGGCCGATTTCAGTTTCGCTTGCTTGTATCGTTGAAGCGTTTAGACAAACATTTGGGGAGAGACAATTCGATTGTTCAGTGTAAAATCTCACTGTCACACCACAAGTATATTTTTTGGACGTTCGCGGCCGCTCAGTGACCCTCCACATGTCCCTACGTCACGGACGCCATGTTTACTTTTGGAAAGGGCTTGCCGAAAAGATGGTGCTGTCTAAGAAAGTTCCATAACAAATAAAGTAAGTTCCTTAATAAATAAATTAGTATTTATTTCAGCAAGGCAAATGAGATGTTAGAGTGCCTATAGAGATATTATCAGTAAATTAATGTACTACTTTTTGGCGCGGTAGCAGGCATGCATTGCAGTTCTGTTGTTTCCAGGGTGCTGTTACAGTGTACTAGAAGGGGTGTAAGTGTTCTGTGGGGTAGTGCTGTCAAGTTGTCGCCAAGTGTGAGCGCTGTTTACCTCGCTGATACCGATAGTTCTCCACATCTCGACCCGTTCGCCAAGCCTAAGTCGATCTGTTCTGTCACCATGAGTAGCGTATCGCGGCAGGCTTTCACAGCACAGCAAAAGCTTAAGATCATCGCCGTCGCCAAGGAATTTGGAAATCATGAAGCTGGAAGACGGCATGATGCAGACGAGGCCTGCGTGC